TCATTGTTATTACACGCCTCACAGAAGTTGGCCAGTTCACTCTTATATGCTTCTTTTCCGTGCTCCCTGTTACTAATGTTAGTCGTGATATTAGCGATGGCGGTAGCACTGCTTAGGCAGTGGTAAATAAATGAGTTAGCAAAAGTAGGTGCCTTGGAAGGGTTGTAACTGCATCGCCTCCATGTTACTACTTTTCTGCAGAATATGATGTAATTTTACTTGTTTAAAGGTGAATTGCTAAAGTCATGAGACAGCTACTCAAACAACAGTAGCGTAATAAATCTCACACATCAACATTTCAGAGCTTACAACATACAGCTGCTAACACAATTGCAGCTGCAGAATTATATCTTTATTGGACAAATCGCTCTGCCTCAGTTCCCAGATTTTTAATTCAGTGAGAGACTTATCTGAGCTTTCATTTCGGAGAGTTATTATATTCTGAGCTTAGCAAGATTTTGCAAGGGTGCGTTAGAAGGTCAAAAAATCAATCGGAAAGGAAAAATCACAGTGTAAGACGGAAGTGGGAATGTCCTTACTTGTTCATAAGGGATGGAGCTGAGAAGTGTTCCGGATGACCACTGCTTGGCCGTCTCGTTAGAAAATGATGGTGCTGCCTGGCTTGTCGTCGGCCAGGCTCTTGCTGCTGCTGCCGCCGACGCCGCCGTCGCTGCTGATTATTGAGCAGTTGCGATTGTTGGCCACCCATTGGCGCAGTTCGAAGGCTGTTGCGATCGCCGCCGCCATAGCCTACACAAAACCCATCCTGCGCTCCGTACACTTGCTTGCTTACTTATGCAATAGTTAGTCGGATTGAATGTGCGCTAAGGAGATGGAATGACACAATATAACTTGTCAACGCCTCAATAATTCATCCACGAAAGGAAGAGAGGCACAGCAACATCCAGAGCAGCCCAGCCTCATCGATTTTGTAGCCAGAATACTCGACCATTACGCTTTCGCGCTAGCTGAAAAAAGCTTTTTATTTTTTGTTCTCATTTTATTCCAAACATTTCGCTTATCGCACTTCGCATCAGTGCATTTTTCAAAAAAAAAAATCAAACATTAATAGTTTTTTATTTTACTCATCCAGATCCAAAAATTATCTACTTTTCGAAGAACATTCCTCTTCATCAGTTTTT